CCCGCCGCAAAGTCCCCTCCTTTTCCTTGCGAACCTGCCTTGCCAGCGGAACGAACCCTCCTCTCTTGCTTCTAACATGGCTTGCCTCATCCCGACCGTCCTCCCAGCGACATCTGCGGAACACCTGCGACACCTTCCGCCGACCCGGGCAAGGCTCCTTGAAATCCGCGATGCCATACCGAAGCTACAACCAAGCAAAGCCACTTTGTGCACTCCAAATGTGTGTGTACAGCCCCTCCGCCGCCTGGAAAATCTGCGCCCGCAAGTGTCCCTGCCTGTCGGACATCTCCACAGACAGGCAGCACTGCTCCTTGTCGCCTTCTCCGCCCACCATCGGCTCTCTGCCTAAACGCCTCTGTGACGCGGCAGAAGCCTCCGTCTTCCCCCGAACACTACGCACCCTAAAAATGAAAGCATACAAGCTATGTTTCCGGCCAGATACCGCCAAAATGAGCGTGCGTTGTGTTCTGGGGAAGACGGTAGGAACTTCGTCGCCGCAAGGGCAAAGAAGAGGCCACAACTGTGCTGCCGTTCTGGATCGTCGATCTGAGATCCGCATGCCGCTCCATTCCCTCCCCTGAGACTCCGTGTACATAGATCGCAGTGGGCAATAGCAAAGGAACTTGGAAATCCTTGCGTCAGTGGTTCGTATCCACCACTTCCAAACAGGCAGAGAGCATCAATAAGAAGCGTCCATATCCATCCATCCGATTGTCTGAGTCACTTTCATCCGGTCCTTTCAACGCCGTCATCGCCAGAACACCACACCGCAAGAGGGCAACCCATCGCTGCGCGGTTGCCGTCAGCGAAAGGAGAGACAAAAACTAGTTAGCCTGATTCAGAGATGGGAAGATTCCGTTGTAATCATCAGCTACTACCTGCGTTCCCCTAATCCTCCCCTCCCCTGCTCTGCAGAACTAGTTCCGATTCAATCACACTCCGTGTAAGACAAGAAGTCCCCCCACAAACTCAATACTGGCGCATGCCCCCAATCAGCACCCCCGTTAGTCATCACCGATCTGCAGATAGATTCATCGACCGATCAATCCGACCGATCGATCTACAGATTGATTGCGCAACTGATACCACAATTGGCTGATTGGTTCATCGAACAATGTCAGAGAAGACTAAGCAATCCTGGCGCACACCACACCACAAATCAACAACACGATTCATCACTCGATCTACACATAGATTGATTGATGGAGCGATGGATCTGTAGATCGACTGATTGATTGGTTGTTCGGTTGATTAGCAAATAACTTGGTCTAATCGACTTGATTGAATCGAGTCTCCTTGCCTGCTCCCCGCCAGACCGTGCATCATTGCGCCAGTCTCTGTTCCACTTCGAATACCTACGACAGCAGCAGGAAGGGAAAGGGACACTTATGCCAGCCATCCGTTATAATCTTTCTGCCACCAATCCACCTACAGCATCGTTTACAGCAGAAAATCGACAAACGAACTGGGAGTAAAGTTACTGGATCACGGCACCTCTCGAAATGGGAGGACGGACACAGACGGGAAACCACTTAAGCATTGATCGATGATCGCACCTCAATCGACGGCTTGGATCGTCAAAGGACTAATCAACGGTTTTCCTGACGACGATGAGGAAGATTGGGGGGGGGGAGAAGCGATTGTGCGATTGTGCCAGCTCAACGAGGAACGAGCAGTTCCAAGCCGTCGATTGAGGGTGAAGGAAGGAAGCAAAAGAGATATTGCGAAGGCGGCGGCGCCAATTTCAGGAGCGCATGCCTACCGATCGATCTTCGGCATCGTCATATATACGAGTAAGACCTGGAGAGATGACAAAGTGGCGCAAGTAAGTCTATCGTTCGTGGTCCTGCCAGCTCAGCCGCGGGACGGCAAACCTCCTCATCTACCCTCTAATCACCCACACTTCGAGAGAGAGAGAGAGAGAGAGAGAGAGAGAGGGAAGGGAACAGTGGGCGGGTAAGTGTGTTCTTCGGGCTCCTGCTAACTCGGCTGCGTGAGGGAGGACAAAGCCCTCCGCCCCACCATCTCATTACCAATACTCTCCGAGAGAGAGGGGTGGGTACACAGACATGGCAAAAGAGGGATAGCTAGGCAGGTGCCCTTTCACCCCCGATCCATGACAACGAACCCGGTCCTTGCGCGCAGGCATATCTTACCCTCCCCTCCAACACTTCTTTCCACTCGAGAAAGGGGGGCACAGAGAGAGAGAGAGAGAAAGAGAGAGAGAAAGGGGAAGAGTAATGGGGAATGTGGGAGAGGGCATCCGGATTGCAGGGGGCGTCAAGGCAGGGCCAGACATTCTTCACCGAGGAGAGCGAAAGAAAAAGACTGGGTGAGGAGTGGGGAAAGGCAAGAACAGGACAGCTAGGGGTCGTTACGAGCGGCCAGAATATCTTCACGAAAGATAAAGAGAGAACGAGAGAGAGAGAGAGAGGGAGGAAGGGAGGGAAGGGAGGAAGGGAGGAAGGGAGAGGAGGACCGAAACGAGACCTGAGAAAGCAGAGCAACGAGTGCGGTTGCGTCATAGTGTGGTCGATCGATTTCGCCGTTCTGGTTTCCCTCAGGGGGGGGGTTAGTCACACTGCGACTGCCCCGTCGACGTATCCGAGCGTAATTACGCACCGAGACAGATTCATCACACAGAGAGAGAGAGAGAGAGAGACTTCTACTACGCCTAGTAGTGTGAAATATACACCCCTACCATCTCGATGAGTATATTTTTACCCTTCCCTATGCAGCCTTGGGAATGCCGGTGTGGAAATGGGCCTCACCCTTGTCGCTGATTGCAGCGGGGGAGTTAAGGACTCTAGGGCTGGCTCCCGTGATCGTTCTACCGTCACTACCATAATACAAGAAGTCCTCTTCCACATCCTCCAACTCGGTAGTCGGCAGTCCGACTATCCCCGCCTCGGGATTTTCGAGGCTCGGCGCGGAGTAGGTCACCGTGCTGTCACTCCTCAGCGCTAGATACACAATGCATAGAAAGTAACAGACAATAGCCAGAAACCCTAAAACTCCGCACATCATGACGACCCAATGGGGCCAAGGCGCCGTGCGAAGGAAATTGACCAACTCGCTACAAAGGAAATAAATGTTGACGGACATGACAAAGAACCCAACGATCCACGTGGCGACGTTGATTGCCACGTGGTTCACGAAAGGTCCCATCTTGACGGGACTGCTGGTGAATTTCAGCAAAGGCAATAACGCGAAGGGCAATTCGAAAGACAAGATGATGGAAGAGGCGATGATCAATCTTCCGGCGCCGTGAGAGCCGCCGATGAATACCACGACCAAGCTGGGCACTATGGCCACCGATCTCGTCAGCAAATTTCGAGCGAAAGGCTGCATCCTCAAGTCGAGAAATCCCTGCATTACGTATTGCCCGGCGAAAGTCCCCGTGACAGTGGAAGTCTGACCTGAGGCAAGCAGCGCCAGGGCGAAGATCTTGTCACTCCATGCGCCCAGGGTGTTCCGCAGAAGAAGCGGGGTCTCGTACAGATGAAGGTGCTCACACTTCAGCCCGTCCGCAGCACTTAGGTTGGCGCTATGGCAGATTGCGCCGCTGACGGAGATCACAGACACGTTGATGACGAAGGCGAGAATCAAGGCGAAACCACACTCCATGAAGTTGTACCTACAGGCATCCTCGATCGAGCTCTTCGTCTTGGGGACATCGCGGCTGAGGACGAGCGCGGAGTGAAGGTAAAGGTTGTGCGGCATGACCACGGCGCCGACCAGCGAGATCGCGATCCCGACTGCCGCTCTAGAACCGAGCGAAGGCACGAACAAACCCTTCAACACTTCGCCCGCGTCGGGCTTCGCGTACCCGACCTCTACAAGAAAGCAGACGGCAATCAAGAAGACCAAGATCGAGACGAACGACTCTAGTTTCCTCACACCATACTTCTGCAGCGTGAGAAGCAGAAGAGTACTTAGACCTGTGATCAACACTCCTACCCAAATTGGGCAAGAAAACAGCATGTTTAGCGCGAACGCCATTCCAATCACCTCGGGGATATCGCTGGCAACGATCGCCAGCTCAGCCACCACCCATAACCCTAGATTGACTGGCTTAGGATACTCTGATCGGCAGTGTTCAGCCAAATGCTTACCTGTCACGACGCCTAAGTTCGCTGCCAACGACTGGATGATTAACCCAGCTATCGAAGCGCACATCAGCACCCATAATAGTTGGAACTTGAAGTTAGCGCCAGCTTGCAAATCGCTCTCGAAGTTGCCCGGGTCTATGTAGGCTATGGCTACAAGAAACCCAGGGCCGACGAACGCCCACAGCTTTCGCAGTCCCCTCTTGTCAGGCACACTAACAAGAGGAGACTTGTCCTCACGACGATACCCAAACTCCTCCGCTGACGTGACAAGCGTCGCGATCTTATCATTCGTCGATCTGTATGCTATACTCTCTAGATCCGCACGGTTCGGTAAGGAGGTCATCTTTCGAGGTAACGGCTGTTGTCTCCCCCTGTTTTCCCCCTTTCTCCGCCGTTTTCAAGCTTTTCTCCCTCGCTTTCCCGCCTTTCGCCGCCGTTTTCAAGCCTTTTTTTTTCCCTAGCCTTCCCGCCTTTCTCCGCCGTTTTCAAGCCTTTCTCCGTCGTTATCCCGCCTTTCTCCCTCACTTCCCCGCCTTTCTCCGCCGTTATCCCGCCTTTCTCCCTCACTTCCCCGCCTTTCTCCCACTTGTCCCGCCTTTTCCACCAGTTTCACCTCCTCTTTCCGCTGTTTCTCGCCAGCTTCTTTCACTCTATACACCCTCCTGTTTCCCCTCCCCTCTCTATCGCCGCTTTCTCGCCGGCGCTTCCTCCTCTCTCCCTCTCCTTATCACCCGTCACCTCTCATATTCTCCTCGTCTTTCTTTTCCTCGTTGATCAAATCCTACGATAATTTTTTCCCTCGTGTTTACTCGCTCCCTGATGTATGTGGCACGTGCGAACAGAACGACGATTATGCCCCTCTTCTGTGCAGTGGGGCCGATACTTCGACGATGATGTCCTTGAGAAAACACCTGCTGTCCTCCCCCTCACCAGCAGGCCGATGGAGGCCGCCTCTTTCAGCTCATTCCCACTCACCACCGCCCCATCACCACATACCTATCCTAAACCCTCGTTGCTCTGAAAACGTTGCTATGGTGAGGTAATCAATCCCGTAATTAGATCAGAGTGAAGACAGCAAAGAAACTATGCAGCCGCTGGGACCAACCTGTGACTGAAACAACTTACCTTCCCGTCTTCGAATCACAAGAGTCACTCGCTGCACCTTCCTCTCTCTCTCTCTCTCTCTCTCTCTCTCTCTCTCTCTCTCTCTCTCTCTCTCTCTCTCTCTCNCTCTCTCTCTCTCTCTCTCTCTCTCTCTCTCTCTCTCTCTCTCTCTCTCTCTCTCTCTCTCTCTCTCTCAGAGACACACACGAACTATACACAGACAAGACCACTCATGCAGTCTATTTGCTGAATTTTCCACCAGAAGCCAGATGATTGTATTAGCTGGCAGACAGAGAGAGAGAGAGAGAATATGACCGAGAGTTCTTTCTCAAGTAGCCGAGGAGATTGGAGAAACGGAGGGGGAGCGTCACGCCTGGGGAAACGAGCGCAGCACGACACTGGCGCAGGCGGCAGAGGCGAGAGAGAAGAGAGGAGAAGAGGAGACAATCCTAGTCCGCTCAAAACTCGGTAGCGTCGCTGTTTACACTTCGCCGTTAAGACTTTTCATTCTGTCTGCAGACCATACCGTAGCTCTCATGGCCCTCAGGACAGCACCTTCCAGATCCCATCATCATTACGTAATTAGGAACGTTAAGAAAACACAAGGGACAACTTTAGCGACAATCTTATCAAATCGTCATCTAATCACATCGCCCATTCCAGGTCTAATGGAGCATCGAGAGACTATTCTCTCTCTCTCTCTCTCTCTCTCTCTCTCTCTCTCTCTCTCTCTCTCTCTCCGCGGGAGATGAAACAGGACGAAAGGAAATGGAAGACCAAGGGAAACGGAAAGAGCGTCTTCCACGGTCGTTAGTTAACGCTCGGGCGTCGGAGACGCAAGTCGTCCTATCGAAAATGTCATTGACGCCAACGAAAAATCATCAATGGCGGCTACTGAAACTTAGTCCGCGGGCCTCCTACTCCACTATCAAGTCCTTATTTCCCCGGCGATGGACAAGATAGCAGCATCACTCGCCCGTGCTGACGACGGACGAGATATCGCACAGCAACAGAATCTCGACAGCCGTCAAAGAAGAGGCTATGGAGGCGAACAGCGATGACGAACAACGATGGCGATGGCGATGGCGAGGAAGATGGCGATAACGAGGTCGGGACATGGAAAACACCCTGCGGGCTTTTGCTTCCGAGTTTGCCGCGGGCGATTCCGCCGAGCATGCGCGACCATCCACTTCTCACCCCTCTCCTCCTCCCCATCGATCGGTGCGGACATCGCGCGGGACGGGCGGAGCCGGGTCACTCCTGCGACCAGCAAGCCGCCTTCATTCCTCGCCATGGATCTTCACAACGACGATCTACGACTGTGGCGCCTACAGGTAGCCGCCAGGCAAGGGAGACCAACCGGTAGCCCCAGCGCTACCAGGGATACGTACCGGTAGCCGCCGATCTCGCGGCTACAGCGCCACCTCCGTTGTTTTGTTTTGTTTTGTTTTGTTTTGTTTTGTTTTGTTTTGTTTTTCGTTTTATTCAGGTGATCGGATATGGATTCGAACTTCGCTCTGTATTTCAACAGTTTATGACTGTCCCAACTGCGGGCCTCGCTCCGCCGCTCACCGCAGGCACAAACGACAAAAACTATGGCGGGGCATCTTTCACTGGTCTATCTGAAGATTCAGGGCCTCGCACACTACAGTAGTACTGTCCACTTTACAAAACGTGGACAGCTGTCAGAGTTGCGCCAAACCCATGGAAACGGGGCTCTCTTGGGGCCTCGCACACGGCAGCAAAACGAAACGAAACGAAAAAAGAAATTCGCGAGGGTTTGCGAGGGGGCAGCGGCCTAGCTCAGGGCATACTCACACTGCGACCCCGAATCCGCAAAATATGCCGATTTGAGGTTTTGGCCATGGTTCACTTCACACTGCTGTACCACGCGGCCGTCTTTAGAAATGGGAATTTGGTACTTGGCTGGTCACACGGCGTCAACCACAAATTGTGCAAGAACTTCTGTTCGCAGCCCGTCAGGGGTGCGTTTTCTCCCCCTGAGACATTGAGACATTTTTTTTTTCGTCGTCGTCCTTTCCTTCGTTATACGGGTCGTTCATTCGGTCCCATTGGTCGTTGAAAGGCTGGAGAAATGAAAGGCACAGGCATTTAGGGGGGGGGGCAGTTCAAGCAAGCGCAGGACCGGTATACCTGCCCGTGGCATTAGGGCCTTGATTTTCGAACTGAAACGTCGTGGACACAGGCCCTTTGGTCGAGAAATCGAAACGTTGCCGGCCGCACCCGTTCCCTGATGGTCGCGCCCGTTCCCTCTCGGTTTGTCAACCTTTTTCTTCTTCAGTTCATCGGGCGTGTCTCTTCTTTTTCCGTCTATTTTCAGGTGCACCCGGCCGTGATGTTGACCAGATGCATGCGCCACTTTCACAACAGAGCACCACAAGGCGACACACACACACACACAGAGGCCCTTTACACGTAACGTGTGCGTGTGAGAGAGAGAGAGAGAGAGGCGGTTTCCGCCATGCGACGAGGGCGAGGCAGTTTGCGCCGCCATCTCTTCGCGCGTGATTGCGGTGCCATCTCTTCTCTTCAGCCATTCCGTTTTGGCTCGTCGAAGGCTTAGCTGCATGTCACTTAGTTATCCTCCCAAGGTATGTATGTTCCCTCCGTCGTCGTCTCCTTCTCCTCCTCCTCCTCCACATCAATGTGTATATATCTGGATGGAAAAGGCGAATAAAGCAGGAAAGGCGGGATTATGAAAAAAACTGACACGCATGCACACGGTTTGATTGACAGTAAGATCAGCAGCGAAAAACGCAAAAAAACAGAACAAAGAAGATCAACCGTGGCATCTTTATCACGACTGTTTGACCCATCTTTATTTATCACGACTTTTTACGATAGATATATCTGGATGAAAAAGGCGAATAAAGCAGGAAACGCGGGATTATGAAAAAAAATCAAACAAACATATGACAAAACGAGTGTGATCGAGAAAGTGGTTACTACATGACCCAACGAGTCAATGTGATTGATTGATTGATTGATTGATTGATTGATTGATTGATTGATTGATTGATTGGTTGATTGATTCATTCATTCATTCATTCATTAATTTATTGAAGTTGACGATACTCGATAGATTGATTGATTGATTAATTGATTTGATTGATTGGAATGATTGGATTGATTGGACTGATTGGATTGATTGGACTGATTAGACTCGATTGGGTTGATTACTACTTTGACTACAGCAGAGGGACTTGGCCTGTCAGATTTATCGGTCAACAAAAGAGGAAGATACCTACGTCTAGATACACATACCCCTGGTCTCGTTCTACATCCGTCTACTCCTCATCATCATCATCCCTTCACTCTTTTTTTTTCTTTCTTCGTGCTTTCAGTGTCATTATTCCCGTTCCCACTACCCCCGCCGCCGCTGTTATTTTTCCTGCACTGACTGTTCATCCTCTTCGTAAAAAATGCGGGGCTCAAGAAAAGCCTAAACACAGGACCAACGCCACGTACGACTGTGGAGACAAGATCAAACTGAAGGATTTCAGAAGAGGATGAGGGGGAGGACGATGAGGACTTGGCCTGTCAGATTTATCGGTTAACAAAAGAGGAAGATACCGACGTTCAGATACACCTGCCCCTAGTCTCATTCTACATCCGTCTACTCCTCCTCCTCCTCATCCCTTCACTCTTTTATTTTCTTTCTTCGCGTTTTCAGTCCCATTATTCCCGTTCCCACTACCCCCGCCGCCGCTGTTCTTTTTCCAACACTGACTGTTCATCCTCTTCGTAAAAAATGCGAGGCTCAAGAAAAGCCTAACACACAAGACCAACGCCACATACGACCGTGGAGACAAGATCAGGCTGAAGGATTTCAGAAGAGGAGGAGGGGGAGGACGATGAAGAGTAGGATTGGTCGGAGTAAGAAGAGGAATCAGAGTAGGTAGAGAAAGGAGAAGTCGCGGAAGGACTGACCAAGGAGGAATTTGAGTCCGATGATCGCATTAAAGCCCACTCTTCATCGTTGTCCGAGTCATCATCCATAGAGTCATCCAAATCAGACAAAGCATCGCGATCGTTCGATGCTTCTGTTCATCATCATCGAGGACATTATGCTTGATATGCGAGTTCGTCCGGGGGTCTTCAGATACACCCTAAATCGCCTGCCATTCTCCATCACCACCTCACTGTATAGCACCCGCGAACCTCCTCCTCCCTCCACACCTTTTCCCCCCCTTCCCACTTTTTCCCACAGTAGTAATAGTGCTTGGAGCATCACTACCGTCTTCCTCCGAACACTGCTTAACCTTATCATGGCTGTACCGAATCGGCAAGATGGTTTGTATACATTCATTATCGTGGTGCGTTATGTCGGGGGAAGACGGTCGTAATTACTAGGTGTAGCACTCGAAGAAGTGATATTATTGGTAGTACGATGGGCCTCGCTCCACT